AGGTAAGTATAACATGTTTGTTTGTTTTTTATTTATCTTTTAGAATCACTTTAAGATAAAGTATTTTTTCAGTAAAAACAAGGCTTTCTCTTGCCAATATTTGGAGGGATTTACTAAAACTGGTGCTCTCAGTATCTGGCTCAGCTGTGCATGGCAGCCAATCAGCCATGATTCACCCCATCCTGGATCTAAAGACACTCGGGAGTTGATTTGCTTAAACTATTGCACTTATAATCTGGTGCAGCTGTGCATGGTAGCCAATCAGCTTCTAACTTCAGCTTGTTCAGTTAAACTTTGGCTATAAACCTGGAAGCTGATTAGTTTCTATGCGGAGCTGCACCAGATTGTGCACTTTCCAGGTTTAGTAAATAACCCCCCACTGTCTTGAAAATAAAATCTCATCTGCTGTGCAATCCATAGACAAAAGTTGTAACAAAAAAAAAACTTCCTTCCAGTTTGACTTGTATAGGTTTTCACACAAGTGTTTTTGCCCTTAAAAAGTTCACAATTTTTTTTTAGGATTTTTCCTAGACCCTAAATATTTGATTCTTTTACAAAGCATAACAAATATATTTTCTAATGAAATAAAATCATTTCTTTTTTAAATTGTATGCTTTTTTGAACTGCTCACTAAAAAAATTAAGGAGCAAGCAAATGAGAAAAAAACATTTATGAATTGTACAGCGTAAAAAAGAACTAGAAATAAACAAGAGAATGGGAGAAAAGTGTTGGTTAGGGCTGATTAGGGTTAACTAAAGACTAAGGGGTTAACAGTTTTTTTTACTTGCAATGTTCCTTTAACTGACATGTGCAGTTCAAAGGTCATCCCTTTGATCGAGAGAAATGATAATAATAAGTTATGAAAATTAACATTGCTTTGTTGCATAGCTGTTGTGCGCAAATAAAGCAAGTGCCAGCTGTCAAAATGACAGCAGTGAGTAGTAAATGTGGCTGGAGGGCTGTGGGTGTGGAGGAGGGATTGGGTGTACTACACATGCCCTGTTTACCACTGTTAGGATAAGAAATTATCTACACGGGGAGTGCATTGTTTTAAAGGATTCAGCTGACTCGAATTATATAAAGGAGCAGCAAAGTACAACCATAGCACTGCAAAGCAGAAAGCAGAGACTGCATAGCTACCTGCATAGCTACCCCCATAGCTATAACTTTAGGTTATACAAAGCAGAAAATGATTTAAAAGCGGTGTATTTTACATACTTCTGCCAAAAGTGACACATTATTCAAAATATAAGCTTCTCTGCCATAGAGGTCATCAGAGAAATCCACAGTCAAATCTTTCAAATCTTCCTTGAAGTAGTAGAATGTGTTATCAGGATAATCAGAATGTCAACCTCTAAATACAGCCGCTAACACCCTACCACACACCACAATGGACAATAATTAAATATAATAATTTGGTGCTGCACTAATAATATATATCCCTAAATCAAAATGAACAGAAAACTTCACAGAAAGAGCATATAAATTCCAAAATATATATAGAATAGAATACACATGAAAATCATATATAATAGTGGAACTCCCAAAATACTAAATCTAGGGTGTAACCTAAGTACACCATAAATAGGTGACTTATGAATATCAAAATATATAGAATAGAATGCACATGAAAATTCAAAATCATATATAACAGTGAAACCCCCAAAATATATCTAGGGTGTAACCTAAGTACACCATAAATCGTTGACTTATAAGTGACAATCCTTATCCATAAATAGTGCCAAAATTTTGATAAAATAGAATCCCACCACTACTGTGCTAAATTGCACAAAATAACTTGTGATGTGAAAATATACCTGCGGGTATATTACATGCAGGATAAGGTGGTGATATCTAGTTATGTATGCCTATACAATATTCTTCATTGTAGCTTCCAGCCTATATTATTCAGGGGTGTGGAAAGTTTTGAAAAAACTACTTGTCCAGTGACTAAATCGGTGTCCCAATCTCACTTAACGGTTTGGTGATATTTTTGAGGTGGGAGCACAACCGGTGGGGGTGCACGCTATTTTAAGTTATTTCACATAAGAGGTGAATTAAGAAGCACTGAATTTATTTGAAGTGAACACGTATTTCTGAAGAAGTATATATGGACTTTTTTTGATATGCATATACTGTTTTTTCCAACGGGTGTTCATAGTGGTTATTTATTTTTTTATGGCACTAATTGTCAATAGGAGCATGTGTGTGTATATATGATTTAGTAACAAGTGGAGCGCAGCACATTTTGGAAATGTATTGGTGTCCCAGTCTACTTGTCCCTCATGACAGTCTACTTTAAAAAATGTTTAACAAGCCACATTTATAGTGTTACTAAACCCACAATAGTAAAATCAGTCTGTATATGCAGTAAAGCATGCTTGTTATACTCACTGTGGAACCTAAGGGGTTAATCCTACGCATTGTGTAAAAATGCTGTTTGATCCTGACTTATCTGATCCTTCCCTTCTTCCAGTATCCTCCTCTTATCTCCTGATAAGACATATCATGTGGAAACACTCTGCACATTTTCAGTTTGGTGTGTATTGCTAGAGAGTTTTTTTTATTTGGGAGATCAGTACAGAGACTATCAGCGCTGTCCAGACAGAGGGTCAGGAGTTCTGCAACTTCCTATAGCAGAAAGAAAACCCCTACAAGCTTTAAACAGTGCTCTGCTGAACACTGATAGAAGACACAAGACTGCTCTAACTGCTGATTAGAAAAGGTATTTAGCAGTTTATATTTATCCTGCCCTCAGCTGATAATGGAATCTTCTATTCCTCCTACCAGTCCATCCCCCACAGTTATTATTACCTTTTGTACCATTAGCCCTTCCCTCTTAGATTGTAAGCTCCAAGGATTGTAAACTCTCCGAACCCTCTTGTATTGAACTGTATTGTTGCTGTATTGTCTCCCATTATATTGTAAAGTGCTGAGCAAATCGTTGGCTCTATATAAATCCTGTATAATAAAAATAATTTACTAAAATAATTGCACTTCCATGTTCTGTGTGTACTGTGGAAGACCATATATAGTGAATGCGGGGTCCTGGGTTTAGTAACACTTTAGATCTGAGGTGCTTTTAGCAATGTCTGGGGCTTTTAAAAACAAAAGGGGCTTTATGGTGACATAAATGTATAATATTTTTAACATTGCTCTGTTTATTTCCTCCTCACATCCCTGCCTGTCTCCAGCACTGCACCCAGGGACTAGCAGGGAGGGGAAAGACCTTGCAGTGTAATGAGCACCGATTGTGTGCTCATCATGAAAGGAGTGTTTTGGGCTTAGCCTTTAACCCTTTGACTGCTAGTGCTCTCTTTGCGTTTTTTGCACATGCTTAAAAAATCATTTTAGGCCTGAAGATTACACAAATAAATAAAATAGTGGAAGTTCCAATTTTTTATGTCACACGATATTACCACAAAATTTCAGTAAAAAAATAAAATTTAGTTAATTTTAGGGCACAAAAAAAAATAAATTACCCAAATTTTTGGTATAATAGAAAAGATGAGGTTGCGCTGAGTAAATAGATATCCAACATGTCAAACCTTAAATTTATGTGCGCTTGTGAAATGGCGACAAACTTTAGTGCCCTATATATTCTATAGGCAACGCTTGTAAAGCCCCTTATAGGTCATCAGTTTAACGTAATGGAGGAGTTGTGTGCGGCAATATGTAACATCTGTATTGCAATTGGCATTTTCATGCATAGGCACCCCAGACTGTGTTTTTTCGCTTGTACATGCATATATGTGGGGGTGGGGGGCCTAAAATTTGGGGGGGGGGGGGACTTGAGGGGGGGGGGTATGTGCTTGGATGTAACTTTAATTTTTTAAAATTAAAAAAAGTTTCAACTTTTTAAACTAGTCTCCTGTCTGATAAAGGTTCTCTTTATTGAGACATTCAGGGGTCTAAAAGACCCTGCATGTCTCCTCTGTGCTCCACTGGATGTAATGCAGTACACATCGCACTGCAATACATTCAAATCTGTCAACAGGGGACCTGGAAGCGATGTCATAACTGGGTCGGATCTGTCAGGGCTCCCAGGTATGACCAGAGGTGTGTGACTGATGCAGGGAAACGCAGACTTCAGATATGTGATAAACAATACAATTTATTAACACTAACCATACAAACATAAACGCAGTGCAATACTAAACATAATACAGTGCAAACAAACCCAACCAATCACCCACAGATAACAGTACATACAAGCAAGCGTCGTCAGGCAGGCCGGGTCAATATCAATTGGGCAGGTAGGTACAGGGGGAGCAAGCAGAGAATGGTCGGGGTCACAGGCCAGGTTCAGCAGGTAGCAAGCAGCGTAGTACAGAGGGTCAGGCAGAGGGATGGTCAGGGTCACAAGCCAGGGATCAAAACAGGTAACAAGCAGCGTAGTACAGAGGGTCAGGCAGAGGGACAGAAACAGGATGCAGGACAGATACAGGGCCCAGGACAAACACAACACCAAGGCAGAGTCTGTGGGTCTGGCCATCCCTTAAATACCCCAGCATCATCAGTTCCAGGTGTTAGCTGGCTGAAAGGTTGAGTCTCTGATTGCTGGGAGCACCCGCTGGCCAGCCCCTGGTACTGCAGATCAAAAGGCAGGTGAGTCCCACCATTGCTGGCCAGTCCATTCCTGACAGTACCCCCCCCCCCCCCAAGGAGCGGCCTCAGGACGCTCCAAACAGTCCTAGCTGGGCAAAATGTTCCACCGCCCGGGTCTGGTAACTGGCGGGATATCAAAGACTGGCACACCGGGCAGGACTCCGGGCAGCGGCACACCGGGCTGGACTCCGGGCAGAGGCACACCGGGCTGGACTCCGGGCAGAGGCACACCGGGCTGGACTCCGGGCAGAGGCACACCGGGCAGAGGCACATCGGGCAGGACTCCGGGCAGAGGCACATCGGGCAGAGGCACATCGGGCAGGACTCCGGGCAGAGGCACATCGGGCAGGACTCCGGGCAGAGGCACATCGGATTACCAGGCGAAGCAGCAGGCAGCGGGCCACCAGGCGGAGCAGCAGGCACCGGGCCCCCGGGCGGAGCAGCAGGCACCGGGCCCCCGGGCGGGGCGACATGCATCGGGCCCCCGGGCGGAGCAGCAGGCACCGGGCCCCCGGGTGGAGCAGCAGGCACCGGGCCCCCGGGCGGGGCGACCGGGCCCCGGGCGGGGCAGCAGGCACCGGGCCCCCGGGCGGGGCGACAGGCACCGGGCCCCCGGCGGGGCAGCAGGCACGGGCCCCCGGGCGGGGCAGACAGGCATCGGGGGCCCCGGGCGGGGCGCAGGCATCGGGCCCCCGGGCGGGGCAGCAGGCACCCGGGCCCCCGGGCGGAGCAGCAGGCACCGGGCCCCCGGGCGGAGCAGCAGGCATCGGGCCCCCGGGCGGAGCAGCAGGGCGCCGGGCCCCCGGGCGGAGACAGCAGGCATCGGGCCCCCGGGCGGGGCGGCAGGCATCCGGGCCCCCCAGGCGGGGCGACAGGCATCGGGCCCCCCAGGCGGGGCGACAGGCATCGGGCCCCCAGGCGGGGCGACAGGCATCGTGCCCCCAGGCGGGGCGACAGGTCATCGGCCCCAGGCGGAGCGGCGGGTGCCCCCCCAGGCGGAGCGACAGGTCTCGGGCCCTCAGGCGGAGCGGCGGGCGCCGGACCCCCAGATGGAGCGACAGGTCTCGGGCCCTCAGGCGGAGCGGCGGGCGCCGGACCCCCAGGTGGAGCGACAGGTCCTGGGACCCCAGGCGGAGCGACAGGTCTCGGGCCCTCAGGCGGAGCGGCGGGCGCCGGACCCCCAGGTGGGGCGACAGGTCTCGGGCCCCCAGGCGGAGCGAGCAGGCGCCGGACCCCCAGGCGGAGCGACAGGTCTCGGGCCCCCAGGCGGAGCAGCAGGCACCGGGCCCCCCGGCCCTCAGCAGGCACCGGCCCCCCGGGCGGAGCAGCAGGCACCGGGCCCCCGGGCGGAGCAGCAGGCACCGGGCCCCCGGGCGGAGCAGCAGGCACCGGGCCCCCGGGCGGAGCAGCAGGCACCGGGCCCCGGGCGGGGCGACCGGCGTCAGGCCCCCAGGCGGGGCGGCGGGCACCGGGCCCCCAGGAGGGGCGACAGGCATCGGGCCCCCAGGCGGGGCGACAGGCATCGGGCCCCCAGGCGGGGCGACAGGCATCGGGCCCCCAGGCGGGGCGACAGGCATCGTGCCCCCAGGCGGGGCGACAGGCATCGTGCCCCCAGGCGGGCGACAGGTCTCGGGCCCTTAGGCGGAACGACAGGTCTCAGGCCCCCAGGCGCGGGGCGGCGGGCACCGAGGTCAGGCGGGGCCAGGAGTCAGGCACAACCGTGGGCTCCGAGTCAACTGGGATGACCGCTGGCACTGGGTCAGACATTGGATCGTCTGGCTGGACAGCGGGCATCGGGTCACCAGGCATCAGGTCATTTGGCTCGACAGCGGCACCGCGTCATCTGGCAAGGAAGTGGGCTCCGAGTCAACTGGTATGACCGCGGGCACTGGGTCAGACATTGGATCGTCTGACTGGACAGCGGGCACTGGGTCACCAGGCATCAGGTCATTTGGCTCGACAGCGGGCACCGCGTCATCTGGCAAGGCAGTGGGCTCCGAGTCAACTGGTATGACCGCGGGCACTGGGTCAGACATTGGATCGTCTGACTGGACAGCGGGCACTGGGTCACCAGGCATCAGGTCATTTGGCTCGACAGCGGGCACCGCGTCATCTGGCAAGGCAGTGGGCTCCGAGTCAACTGGTATGACCGCGGGCACTGGGTCAGACATTGGATCGTCGTCTGACTGGACAGCGGGCATCGGGTCACCAGGCATCAGGTCATTTGGCTCGACAGCGGGCACCGCGTCATCTGGCAAGGCAGTGGGCTCCGAGTCAACAGGCACGACAGTGAGCACCGGGTCATCAGGTACCGGATTGTCTGGCTCGACAGCGGACATCGGGTCACCAGGTATGACAGCGGGCACTGGGTCACCAGGCATCAGGTCATTTGGCTCGACAGCGGGCACCGGATCAGGTACCGGATCATCTGGATCAACAGCGGGCATCGAGTCAACTGGCCTAATAGGATCGTCAGGCTGGATCAGTTCATCATGCTGGGTAGAGGCATCAGACTGAATGCCGGCGTCCGGCCGAGTAGAGGCTTCAGGCCGAGTAGAGGCTTCAGGCCGAGTAGAGGCATCAGGCCGAGTAGAGGCTTCAGGCCGAGTAGAGAGGCATCAGGCCGAGTAGAGGCTTCAGGCCGAGTAGAGGCTTCAGGCCGAGTAGAGGCATCAGGCCGAGTAGAGGCATCAGGCCGAGTAGAGGAGGCTTCAGGCCGAGTAGAGGCATCAGGCTGAAGAGAGGCATCAGGCTGCATACAGGCATCAGGCTGAAGAGAGGCATCAGGCTGCGTACCGGCATCAGGCTGAAGAGAGGCATCAGGCTGAGTAGAGGCATCAGGCTGAGTAGAGGCATCAGGCTGAGTAGAGGCATCAGGCTGAGTAGAGGCTTCAGGCTGAGTAGAGGCTTCAGGCTGAACCACGGAAGGCAGGCTCACCGGTTTGGATACTGGCAGGATGGTATTGGTTGGAAAGAATTTTCGCTTTTTTCTGGTTTTAACTACTGGAGCACTGCAAGTAAACGCAGGTCTGCAAACGAATGGAGCAGCTGGAGACAGAGAAGAACTGGAGGATGGAACAGGAGAGGGAGCAGTTGCTACAGAGGGCTCTTTTACAGGGTTAAAGGCAGGATAGGTGCAGCGAGTGGGAACAGGGTACTGACATGCGGTAGATAGCAGGGCAGGAGGAGCTGTTGGGAATGCAGGAAATAGAGTTTTGAGGAAATAGATTAGAAGCAGGACTGGGTCTTTGTAAGCTGACTGAGGCTGGGTGCAACAAATCTGTCCATGTCTGCAGTATGGGTTGAACAAAGCTGAGCTTACACAAAGCCTGTCTGGTCAATGACTGTACTGCGTTTATACAATCTCTTAGTGTCTGTGGTGAACATGTGGAATAACGCTCCAGAAAGTAACCCACATCATCCTCTAATAACCACACCAGGGACTCTACCTGGTCTGCACTAAATGGTGGCAAAAATTCATCCCTGCATTCGGGGGTACCAGATGAAACCAACTCAGCACACAAACCTCAATCAATGGCTGCACCTCAGAGAACTCTGTGCCCTGATCTACTAGAACATGAGCGAGCCGTATACATTCTAGCAGTTCATCCCGGGTATACTCCTTCAGAGTTTGATAAGCATACTCCCTGTCATCAAACACTAGCAGATATAAATATTCAACCTCATCAAGATCCATCCTTCCCATCAACAAGCCAAGATGGCTTCCCTGTGCAGCCACTTCTGGTCAGGATTGGCCTTGGTGTAATGTCAGGGCTCCCAGGTATGACCAGAGGTGTGTGACTGATGCAGGGAAACGCAGACTTCAGATATGTGATAAACAATACAATTTATTAACACTAACCATACAAACATAAACGCAGTGCAATACTAAACATAATACAGTGCAAACAAACCCAACCAATCACCCACAGATAACAGTACATACAAAGCAAGCGTCGTCAGGCAGGCCGGGGTCAATATCAATTGGGCAGGTAGGTACAGGGGGAGCAAGCAGAGAATGGTCGGGGTCACAGGCCAGGTTCAGCAGGTAGCAAGCAGCGTAGTACAGAGGGTCAGGCAGAGGGATGGTCAGGGTCACAAGCCAGGGATCAAAACAGGTAACAAGCAGCGTAGTACAGAGGGTCAGGCAGAGGGACAGAAACAGGATGCAGGACAGATACAGGGCCCAGGACAAACACAACACCAAGGCAGAGTCTGTGGGTCTGGCCATCCCTTAAATACCCCAGCATCATCAGTTCCAGGTGTTAGCTGGCTGAAAGGTTGAGTCTCTGATTGCTGGGAGCACCCGCTGGCCAGCCCTGGTACTGCAGATCAAAAGGCAGGTGAGTCCCACCATTTCTGGCCAGTCCATTCCTGACAGGGACAAGAAGGGGAGGGGAGTGGATGTGTCTGCTCTCCTTCCTCCCCTCTACCCACCGGCACCCACTGAACTGGTCCCGGGCCCACAGATGGGACAGCAGAGCCCGGGAGACATAGCATGCGGGAAGGGGGGGATGCGCAGAGGTTGGCACAGTAGTGGGCTGTGTGGAAGCAATTGAGCGGCAGCTGCCCAAATGCTTCCACCTGACAGGGCTAAAGGTTAAAAAGAAACTATCTGCCCAGCTCTTGGATGTACACCTGGGTGTCAGGCGATATAAATTGAACATCCCTGATTATTATTGTGTGTAGTTTGGGCAGGAAGCACATTTCTATTTTTCAGGAGGAATTCAAGACAAAAGGCAATTTGGAGCAGAGCAGCTGGATGACAGGTCCTTGTCCACTCCGCTTATGCACACGGACGCAGCCCGCTCTGCTCTATGGACCGTCATATGTAAACGGACCGGCTGTCAATTTTACACTCAACTGCCCGCCAATCCAATCTGGCAAGATGGGGAGGAACGGATCCCCTCCCATTTGTTTTTGCCAAATCGGATTGGGGATAGGCAGGTGTAAATGGAGAAAAGTCTGTTTACATTCACCGCTCCATAGTGGAGAATGGATGGTTCAATCAGGTCCGCCTGAAAAATGAACAGGCAGAGACGATCGGACCGTTTGTGTGAAAGGGGTCTAACTGGGGTGTCTAATGGACTGCATGGTAATATTTAGTCACCCTGCACACAACTTCTGTGACAGAAAAATCTAGGATAATAGAGATTATAATGACTGACTACATATCTGTTTCTGTGATTCACTTTGACAAGCCAGCATAGGGTAATACTAATATTGTGATGGATGGTTTATATTTATGATTCTCTTCTATTTCCATTCTTCTTTTGCAGCTGATATCATTTCTACAGTTGAGTTTAATCACACTGGAGAGCTGCTGGCAACTGGGGACAAGGGTGGCCGCGTTGTCATATTCCAGAGGGAGCCTGAGGTAAGACATCTTGTAAGGATAGACCGGCTTTCTACGCGAGTTTTAGTTATTTCTGACAGGTATTTGCCAACTATATTTACACAACACCCTACATACTCTATATTTATCTCAGTCCCAGGACTTAAACGAGAAGTTTTTAAAAAATCATACTTACCTAGATAAGTTCCCCCGCTGGTTCTAAGGCTGATAACTGTGCAATCAGACAACGCTGATCGCTCAGTTTCTCCCCACCTCTCTGAGCAGAGAACCAGGACTGTCAGTCTCTGGTTCTGTGTTCGGCACGGGGTAGGCAACCATTGAGAGGTGGACATCTACCTGAACAACATAAAAGAGATCAAAGATCACCAGGGTTCAGCGCCATTAATAAATAGATAAATAACTAGCAATGCCTAACTAAATAGCAACGAAAATGTAGAAAAATATAATAAAACAAATCTCACTGTAAAATTACAGACTACCTTAAAAATGGACAGTGCCATTCAGTAGGGCAGTGGATAGTGTCAGTAGGGCAGAGGATGGTGTCAGTCAATGAAGCAGTGGACAGTGTCAGTAGGGCAGAGTTTTGGTGTCAGCAGGGCAGTGGATGGTGTCAGTAGGGCAGAGGATGGTGTCAGTCACTGAAGCAGTGGGACAGTGTCAGTAGGGCAGAGTTTGGTGTCAGTAGGGCAGTGGATGATGTCAGTAGTTTTTATTTTTACATGTTTACTTTTTAATATTTTTCACAATTTCTTTATGAGCCCTGTTGAAAGGGGAGCACTTGGGGGAGGGGCCAGTCAGCAGAAAAAAGGAGGAACAAGGATGGGAGGGGTAGCGAGGGAGGCGTTTACTAGAACCGAACCCCTGGATTTTCCTCCTGTAGCAGCTGTACGCTGGTGGGAGGAGGAGATGCTAGTTTTCAGCTGCTCTAGTAGGACAATGAAGCAGCATAAGGTTGCTTAGGCAGCTGCTTTAGGGTACCTGGGAAGGGGGGGGGGGGGGCGACAGAGAAATCCCAATCCCCACCCACTTGCTGGAAATTCAGATTTTTAAAATACTTGCCCATGGGAGGGAAGGGGGGGAAGAAGACACTGCTGATCGGGGAAAGGGGGGGGGGGTCAGAGGACAGCACTGTGGGTGGTGGGGGGGGGGAGGGGTGATGTGAAGGAAGGGCAGTGAAGGACACTGCTATGGGGGTGGCCCTGCCCATAGCAGTGTCCTCTGCACATCACCTCTCCCCCCCTGTAGTGTCACCTGCCCCCCCCCCCCTTCCCCCATAGCAGTGACCTCCCCAGCAGTGTCCTCTGCCCCCCTTTCCCCCAGCCTCCTCCGCTGCTACTGACATTCTCAGTGCACAGTGGAGAGCAGAGGTCACCAGTCACCTGCGAGTTAATATGAAAAGTTAATTTGTCCAGCTCCTCCTCCTGCCCTCCATCCTGAGCCCTGCTGTCCTCTGCTCTCCACTGTGCACTGAGAATGTCAGTAGCAGCGGAGGAGGCTGGGGGAAAGGGGGGGGGGGACTTGTTCACAGTCACCTGCCCACGGTCGACAGGTAGACTGCAATCAATGCGTTGCCAACCCCCACCCTAGAGGCTGTGGTGGTCCCCCCCCCCCCCCCCCCCCCCCCCCCCCCCCCACCCCCCCCCCCCCCCCCCCCCCCTGTAAGGACAGATCACTGAGGAACCAGATGGTTGCTTTGGATTCAGGTTACTACACACTATAGGGGGATGTGCTTTGACCCTGTCTGTAACACACTTTCTTTCCTAGGGTGACAACACTCACTGTGAGAAGTAATGTTGTCACCCTAAGAAAACTCACTCAAGCTCTACTGCTAATCAGAGAAATGTGAGTGGAGGGCTGGTGCTCAGGCTGACCTTTCAATCCAGAATATGTAGCAAAATAGCCGGCAACTCATTTCTTCATCAAAATGTCTTTATTGGCACACAGTAGAAGATATAAAATCCATGAAAACTGACGCGTTTCAGCCACAGCCTTTCTCAAAACTCAAATGTTCTCACATGTTGTCACCCTAGCCTGCTGTCCTGATTGGGACTGAAAACACCTCTCCATCTCTAATGTAACCACAGTACTTCCTGTTTGCTAACGGGAGGGGGGCTAACTATTCTGGACCACAGATAACCCTCTAGAGCAGGGGTGTCCAAACTATGGCCCTCCCGGTGTTGAGGAACTGCAAGTCCCATTAGGCCTTGCAAGACTCTGACATCCATACGCAAGACACCCAGAGGCAGAGGCATGATGGGACTTGTAGTACTTCAACAGCTGGAGGGCCATAGTTTGGACACCCCTGCTCTAGAGCACTGGTGTCAAACTGGCGGCAAGATTGACAGTTACAAGCATGACTCCTAAAGGCAGCGGCATGATAGGACTTGTAGTTTCGCAACAGCTGGAGGGCCGCCAGTTTGACACCCCTGCCCTAGAGTTTCAGGCCATAAGACCCCGCAAAATAATTCTTGATTATGTATATGTACTGGCCAGGTTGTGCAGTCTCACAAATTATCCAAACTGAAGCTAAACATTAAACACTACAGTACATCTACTAAGCGACATATCGGCATGGATGTCACTCCACTTCCTCAAACTCAATCTTTTCAAAACTGAGCACTTAGTATTCCCCCCCTGACTTCTCCATCAAAATCAATAACACAATCATCAGTCCCTCCCTTCATGCCAGGGTACTAGGTGTAATCTTGGACTCCCATCTGTCCTTTCAGTCCCAAATCCAATCACTGTCCAAATCTTGTAGACTTCACCTCCGCAACATCTCCAAGATACAACCGTTCTTAACCTCGGAAACCACTAAGCAACTTATTCACTCCCTTGTTATATCTCGCCTTGACTATTGTAACTCCCTCCTCATTGGCCTACCTCATCGCAGGCTATCCCCTCTTCAGTCATCATGAATGCTGCTGCCAGACTCATCCACCTTACTAACCGTTCCATATCTGTCATCCCTCTCTGCCAATCCCTCCACTGGCTTCCCATTGCCCAACAGATAAAACTCAAAACATTAACAATAACATATAAAGCCACTTATAACTCTGCCCCAAATTACATCACCAATCTTGTCTCCAAATATCACCCCAACCGTACTCTCCGCTCCTCGCATGACCTCCTGCACTCTAGCTCCCTTGTCTCCTCATCCTGTGCTCATCTCCAGGACTTCTCCCGGCCATCTCCTCCGGCCGATGATGGCATCCGTCTTCTGGGTTCCATTCCCTGCGAGTGTCGGGATGTACGGGGGACAGAACTGGCGGGAAATGCAAAAATGTAAAAATGTGACATTCACTAAATACACTAAAATAACATATTAAAACATTACTGTATCAAACTAGTTCACATACATTTTGTCTCGAGTGCTTTGTCCTGTGCCCTGCCTGCATTTTTACTGTTCTTTCTGCCTGGAAACTGAGAAACGTCCATGGCGTCCAAAAAGCGTTCCTTTAGGTCAAAATCGGTTTTAGACCGGCTAGAGAACAGCGATAGTAAATCAGAACCACTTGCAGAATTGAGTGATAATGATTCGTGGGCAAATTCGTCATCAGACACTGAAAACGATTTTGCGACTAAGCTCAGCGATGTGCGAACTTGGCGCTATATTTAAATTTCAGTGTTTTTGGTTTGATTATATTATTGAATTAAATTTATTATTATTTTTTATGATTATTTATTATATTATAATTTATGGTTTCGTGACTCTTGTTCGGACAGATTTCAGTGAGTTATTCCTAAGAATTACAGGCCTACAATAAAAAAACAACATATTTCCATTGAAAACAATGTACCACTTTGAGCACAGAAATACTGACATAATCAGACCACCAGGGAGGTTAAAGATGGCTGTATGTGTAAGTAGGTGCTGCTGCGACCATCGGCTGAAACTGAGAGCAGTCAGAGGAGAAGAATGTCAGCAGCACACCGTGGATCTCCAATGTGGGTCCAAAGCTTTATTAAGTGATCACATAGTTACAGCAAGAGCAATGTTTCAGAGCCTCACAGGACCCTGTCACCAGCCTGATGAAGTTGTCCTGTGAGGCTGTAATCACTTAATAAAGCTTTGAACCCACTTTGGAGATGCATGCTGGTAACATTCTTCTCCATTAACTTTGAACTGACTCCCGCTGAAGATCACAAGGGTATTGTGATTGGAATGCTGTGCAGGAATCCACGCATGACTGCAGCTCTCCCGCACTGCATTGTAGTGTGAACGGGCCCTTAGGGCAGTACATGCCCAGGGATGAATACCTGGAACACAAGAAGTCTGCATTCTGGGCATTCTTTCTTTCATAGAGTTTGTCAGGCTGCTGACAGCAGGGCTGCGTGGTGCACCTGTGCCCTCTGCCTACACCTGAGCACCATGCACTGGGGAAAATGCCCAATGTACGTAGGGCCTTAGCCTGGTTTTCTGCAGCTAAGTACATTTAAACACAAAAAGTTTGTTTATACATTCCAAATCAGATTCTTCTACATAAACAGAGGAGGCCCTGTACATAGTGTTGAGTATCACTGTAAAGAGGAAACTGCCCTTCAGTCTGTTACAACATGTGAGTCTCATAATGGCAGCTTCTGTCCACAGCTTCTAACTCAGGCATTTATCATAACGATACTAGTGTTCTGATGGCGAATAAGAAATGTTTGTTTCTCTTTTCTCCTGTACAGTGTAAGAATGGACCTTGCAGTCAGGGGGAATACAATGTATACAGCACGTTCCAGAGCCACGAGCCGGAATTTGATTATTTGAAGAGCTTGGAAATAGAAGAAAAAATTAACAAGATTAAATGGCTCCCCCAGCAGAATGCAGCCCACTCCCTTCTGTCAACAAATGGTATGATCGCAGATCATCTGCCTCCTGTGCTGCTAGAAATGGAAAATAATGTTTGTTAGTATGCTCCTCCACAGAGGCAGGAGTGTTAACTGTCTGCATGCTGTAAGACGAGCGGCCCAGTCAGAACTGAACATTAAGGGCTTGTTCACATGTGCATTCAGATCACTCTTCAGAGGGCATTTGACAGGTGGTGAGGAGGCGTTATGTTGCCTCCTCACCGTCTGATTTAAGCCTGTAAATAAAGCACAACTGCAACTACAATCATTGCATGCAGGTTGCGGGGAAGTTGCGGTGCGCCCTCCATAGGCTTACATAGGTCATGTTCGCTGTTTATTTTTTGCAAGGGCCCCAAAACTCAACATCTCAGCCACAGCATGCATACGGCTCTGAGTGGCTGCATGCAGTGTTCAGGCAGGCGTTTAGGGTAGTAATAAAACTGACACAAGGGTCTGGGAGATGGTAAAACCAAGTGGTTGAGCTTCAATGAATCTTAAGGTATATATACCATATAGCCAAAAATGATTTATATTGTTTTGGATAGAGTAGGGAAGGGTTGAAACCCTTACCAGGTAGGGCTTTATTTTTTTGTGTCTGCGTTCTGCTGAGATTTTCTTTCACTTTCTGGCCCAGATATAGGAAGGGAGAAGCAAACTCCTTAAAGTAATGATTTTCTTTTTTGGCCTACAGACGCATGGCTGCTACATTTGCACAGCTGCCCAGAAGCGGTTGTGGGAGTGCACAGAAATTGGCCATTGATTGTACTTTGTATAAATCAGTGGCCAGCACTGCCGTTGTTCGCTTGCAGCTGCTGTTCATCTTAGTGATTATATGTGAATAGAGCTTCTAACACAGAATGTTACCTGTCAAGCACTTTGACTTTTATGGCACTGCAATAGTGAACTAGGCCAGACACTTCCTTAAAAGAGAAGTTTGAGATTTAAAAAAAATAAACATTTATACTCACCTAGACGGATGCAGCATCGATCCAATGTTGCATCTGTACTCCGCCAGCTCTGCAGTGAGAGCTTAGTGATCAAACACTGCTGATTGCTCAGTTCTCCACCTTCACTTTGAGCAGAGAGCCGTGACTGGCAGTCATCAGCTCTCTGCTCTCCCCTCCTGTGCTTACTGGAGCACCAGACTGTGGAGGGGGTGGGAGGGGATGGATTTCATCAGATCGCTGAAAGGCTGAGCAAGGTGTCGCTCCAGGCTTCTGGGCAGATACCAAGCATATTCCTGAGCCTGGACCTGCTGAGTGATGTCACAGGACAGAAGACAAAAGAGTGTTGGCCATACTTCTCCCATAAGCACATCTGGATAGAGAAATACATGGAATATCATTGTTGACCACTGCAAGTGAAAATGCTAGTTTAATGGATTTCATACTGATCTTTTGGCTTCAATGCTATGGTCACTGGTCCAGAACAGATCAAGAGCTATAACTTTTTTTTTTTCAGATTTTATTGAAGAAATTTTTTTGTAAAAAAAAAAACCACAGGGCAGGAGAAATACAAAAGAAGGATCGACCATACCAATGAGGAAGAAAATTAAAATTACAAAGTACAAAGCATCCAGTGAATTAGGCCTTGAACTAGTAACATTTAAAGGATAAGTTCACCTTTCATAACATGTTACACCCGTATTCAGGTGGTAACATGTTGTGATCAGACTGCCCACCCCGCTCCCCCCGTTTCCTCGTTTTCACAGCTAGCGGAGGATCTTTTTCCCCCTCGCTAGCTGTCAAAATTTTTAATAAATGTGGCCAGCTGCGTCACTCATTCACTGTGTTCCGTGAATGAGAAAATGCAAGTCCTGACAGCCTTAGCGGTTGTCAGCTTGTAATTCTCAATGAACTACCACGGCGAGGTGGAGCCGCAGCCTCCAAGTTGTAGTTCCCTATTAGCTTACATTCTGGGTCCTTCCTCTTCCAATCTGAGTTCTATGCACAAAATTACATGAAGTGTAAAGACGGCTTATACTAGTGGTATTAATAATCCATTCAACTATTTTAAATACATAACTAAATTAAATGGTGGTCTTTTATATCTGCCTGGTTTTCATTTTTTTCAAATGAGGAAACACTGCTATCAAAACCTATTTTGCAGTAATATGCTGGAACGAAATAATGTAGTCAGGCACAAAGGATTGCTCGTTTAGTTCATTTCCTAATGACAAAGCAATGCATCTTCATCAGAAACGGATTTAATCTATTCTACTGAATACAAAACTAAACTGTAAGAAAGGAATGTTCTACTTAAAATAGAAAGTATAGTTTATTTTGCAGAGCGCCTAGTGCAAGTTATCTAGCTGGAATATGTCAGATTTGGATTTTTGTTTCTCCACTTTTTTGTGTCATACCAATACAAACAAAAGAAATAAAGAATGCCTAAACATTTGTATTGCAAACATTTTCTAGGTGAAGTGGTGCCTTATATGACAAAAATGCAAGGGTGCCAATATTTTTGGCCATGACTGTATATAGAAATAATATATATAGAAGAATCTGAATATTTACCAGATTTCTATCCAGGCAGATTAAACAGGTTTAAATAGTATATTAGTTCCCTTTCAATTGAGGACAAATATTGATTAGGATGATTTCAGGTAACATCAATGTTTTAATGAATTCCAGATAAAACAATCAAATTATGGAAAATCAGTGAACGTGACAAAAGGCCGGAAGGCTACAACCTTAAAGATGAAGAAGGAAAAATGAAGGACCTGTCAACGGTGACCTCATTACAGGTGAGAATAAAGTCTTGGTAATGTCAGAATAATTAAAGGGTTATTAAACCCACAATACTAAAATCAGTCTGTATATGCAGTAAAGCATACTTGTTATGCTCACTGTGGATCCTAAACGGTTAATCCTCTGCATTGTGTAAAAATAATTGTATTATCCTGTCTTCTCTGATCTTCCCCTTCTTCCATGTTCCCCATTTCATGTCCTGATAGAACACAGCCTCGGGGACACTCTGCACATGCTCAGTTTGGTGTGTAGCTAGAGAGTTTTTTCTTTTTCTTGGGAGGGTGCCTGTGATCAGCACTCGCCAGAAAGAGGGTCAGGGGTTATGCAATCTCATAGTGCAATGAGAGGGGAATGAAAACTCCTCCTACAAACTTTAACCAGTGCTCAGCTGAACACTGACAGAAGTCACAATAGTGCCCTAACTGCTGATGAGAAAAGGTATTTAGCAGTTTATATTTACTAAAATAATTGCATTTCCATGTTCTGTGTACTGTAGGAGACCAGGAGACTGCAATTACATGAACCGATCCCCTGTTCTCTCTGCAGCATCTGAAAGCTTCAGCTGCTGCAGAGAGAGCCACACAAGAGATCGGTTCAGTTAATTGCCCCTCTGCTGCACCCATCACCCACCCTGTACACCATACATTTCCCTCTGCTCTCCAGGCCCCCCACCACTGCAATGTTTCCGGCTTCCCTCCTCTTTCAATCACCAGCAGCTGTAAGCACACAATAGGATCCTTTAGGATGGAGAGTGGAGCAAGGGTTCGGTAAATATGTCACATTTAATTCAAATTCAGATTCAAACCCAGTGTGATTCTGCGCTTAGATGGAAAATATAAAACAAAAACGAGCAGCTGGCACAAGTATAAGATACTAAACCACAGTAAACATAATATATAAAGTGCACGCTAAACACCATATTCAAAAATATTAACAGCCCACCATAATCAAATGAATGTCCACATCAAGAAATGTCCATGATAATGGATGTGCTTCAAACAATAGGAGAAGAAGAGAAAGACCCGCTTATCCAACAGGGTTGAAGAGAGAGTGACACTCTAGATTAATTCTGGTGACCACAGGTGAGTGAGCCCTTACCGGAACTGTTGGGCTCTCAATTTAATGAAAAACCAAAAGTGCGTAAAGGGATCAATCCCACAACATATTCATGCTATATGGCAGTACTCCACTACTATGGCTCCACTGTACCTTCACTCTCCATTAGTAGCGGTATATAGAAAACAAAAAAAACAATAGTGCAGTATGTTCCAAAATAAATAGCTGCCCTGTCTCTTCACTCTGCTCTTCCTGATCATCATGGACATTTCTTGATGTGGAAATGTATTTGATTATGGTGGACGGTCACTTTTTTTAATACGGTGTTTAGCGCTACACTTTATATATTATATTAAATATGTCACATTTGCCAGCCCCTTTCTTTCCTGAATAAACACAATGAGTGATAAGTATCCATCACTCACTGTGTTCATTCATAACTGAAGCATAGTAAGCTGTGGGTTTTTTTGATGTGGGGGGCCCTGTCAGGTTGGCTGCATGGGGCCCTATGGTTTCTAATAGCAGCCCTGCTTAAACCTATGGGGCATGAGGTTGTGCACTGAATACTTCAGATACTGGTTATAGCAGAGGTTCTTAAACTTTTTTGTACTATTAGAGACCTCCAATGGATTGCCCAATATTTCCCAATACCTCTTCACCAGCTTGTGGAAATCATGACTATTAGGTATCAGCATGACTTTTAAATATGTCATAGGCTTGGGTTCACTTTAGGTATGAATAGCGGGGAAAGAAAGAGAATCCCAAGGATTGTATCTTATATAGTCTTATATACAGTATATAAAGGGGAAATCACAAAAACACAAGCTAACTTAAACAAGTGAGATTCTTGCTGTTGTTTAAACGTGGAATCGTGGTACAGTTACTGACAATGTTACAACATTTGACACATCAAGTTGATTTTTCCACTTTGATTTCAGGTTGAATAATGGATAGAATCCTGTGTCATTTTTTTAAATTATTTACAGATCCATATCCCCATGACTTGGGTCATACCCCCAGTTAAGAAACCCTGGTCTATTTTAATTAGGAGACAAACAATTTGCTGTGGAACAGTGTGAGCTTTGTAGGCAACTCTTATTCCTTTGATTCTCAGTCATTCAAAAGTGCGTTTTTATTTCTCCAAGATAAAGTTCATGTCAGGATTGTCTTCCCGGTGCATAGACATTTATTTTTTTCATTATTCCTTAAAGTACACAGGATCAGAGACAATTGGGTTATACTGTTGCTTACTGGAGGAATAATGTCCTGGCAAACAAAAAGCCATTGGCAAGCAAGGTATAACCCCTCCTACTCCCACCAAGGTGCATGCTTTACTAGTGTCCTAGGAGGAAGGATGTATTTTCTTTTTGGGGAAAGATTTAGCATTTTTACTGGACACTTTTTTATTGCTCTACAAGACTTTTTATATACGTCAATCTTCTTTTCATCATTCCACTGCTGAGCTGAGCTCCTAAGGAGCTATTTAGATTGGCTAATCTTGGTACTACTTTGGAGGCCATTACTGGACCAAAGATTGCAGGCTTGACCTGAAATGTGACCCTTAGACACTGAACTCTGTTTTTGGCACGCCCCAGACACCTCGTGTACTGGTTTGTTACCTGCAGAGCACTTTACAGGTCAAGGCCAAGTTTATGATGACTCCCCCTCTTTGATGCCTGAATCGTTGTCCCCTGCTTGAGTCCACACACTCCTTGGAGACTTTACTAGCACCCTCAGGTGTAGCCCCTTTGTTTGCATTATTCAGAGATACATTTACACAGCTATGCTAGATTTTATAAATCAAATCACTGCCATGATAGCTGATTCATAATGCAGAGACCATAAGCATACTTCCATGCCTTCTCCCCCAGGGTCTCTGCCTGACATTTCTGCAGCTGTAGCAGCTTCTCAGCACTTAGCCGAGGATGCTCTCTTTGATGAGAAGGCTTCCATCCTGGATGAGTTTGTGCCCGAGGAGCCTCGGTCTGCTGATGTAAACCCTAAACTTAACCACTTTGCTACCAGAGCCATTTTTTCAGTTTTGCACAGATGTTAAAATGCACATTTTAGGCCTGAAGATTTGTCAACCCCCAAAATAGTATATATTTTCTCAAAACAAAGAGCCTGTAGAATAATATGGGGGAAGTGACATTTTTTTTAAGTCACATGATATTGGCACACATGCCAATCAAACACAGATTTTCAGTAAAAAATATACTAAGTTTAATTTCAGTGCACACAAACACAGTATACTCCCATATTTTGGTAAAATATAAAATATGAGATCAACATGAGTAGACATCAAGCATTAAAATGATGTGTGCCTATAAAACATTGACAAACGTCAGTATCCAAATTTGTCCATAGATGATGCTTTAAAAGCTTTTACAAGTTGTCAGTTAAAGTGGTAGTAAACTCTTTTTTTTTTTTTTACTTTTACCTAAAGGTAAGCTTATAATAAAGCTTACCTGTAGGTAAAATAAATATCTCCTAAACGTGCACCGTTAGTTATTGAATGCTTGAGCCTATACCTTTCACATTACACTCCTGCGTTGACAGGTTAGTGGTTGTGGTCGTTCAATCTCCAGAATGAGTCTCCTATTAATATGAGGTTTGCTGTTTGTCTGCCGAACAGCATTACAAAATATTCTTGCTGTATTTGCCCTTTGATAGAGAACGTCTCTTTGGTGTTTCCTTACACTACTTTATAAAATATATCACTGGTGGGAAAAAAGCACTTTTTTGCTCCAGGAAAATAAACATAAGACTCACACTAGCGAAATTGACAAATTTTCCCTTTGCGACTGAACTGGACTTGGATGCCTGGAAGAAAAAGATTCTGAACTCCTAAATCTACCCACAGAAAATTAGTTTTTTTTGCCGTAAAAAGATACCCCCTCTATTTAAAGTGGGGGTATGTCTGTTGGCTTTAGTAGACACCTCAGATACATGGGGTGATGTCCAGATTTTACAGGCTAGAGTTTGGACCTCTACTTTTACCTCATCATTTCCAACCTGACTGTGTCTCCACACAAACTAAGAGACTTCCATGCTGTTGTGGCAGATCTCCTAAGTTAAAGGATGAGTTCAGCTTTTGGAGCATGTTACACCTTACACCTATATTTAGAGTGTAACATATAACATGCTGCACCCCTGCACCCCCCACAGTGATCTGTGAATTAATGTACTACAGGTACCATTTTCCACAGCAGCAGATGGCTTGTGGTTCTCAATGAACTGCGAGGATGCTGGCCCTAGCCCTAGTGCTAGCTTTCCTGTGCTCTCAGTGCATTTCTGTAGTGGGATAAAGACTGTCAGTAAATGTCCAATGGACTGTTTAGGCTCTATAAAAATTTGGTTGAATGCTGAACCTACAAAAGTCAGTGTTAAAACCAACTCATCACTTGGAGTATCTGGGTCTCATTCTAGATGCTGCTTAGTCTTCAGTTTTTCTTCCACAAGACAGACTCCAGACTTTCCACTCCCAATTTTGGACTCTACAGTCAAGGAACCATCTAACTATCTGCTTTTGTTTGAGACTTCTGAGCTTGATGGTCACCTCATCCGATACAGTCCTTTTTTCCCAATTCCACTCCAGAACGTTGCAACTCAACATAATATCTACATGGAACAAGATGGTGCAATCTAATGGACCACCCAATGATTCTGACACCCAAGACTAGGTTATCATTGGTTTTGTTGACCAGGAATCCAGCTCTGGCATCAGGAAAATCTTTTGTTCTGTTGTTCTGGCTGCGGTGGAGTCCTGGACACCCTTTGAGTGCAAGGTAGACTTCATGTCCTCCAGATGCAACAACCAACATAGTACGTTTGTATCCAGATGCAGGAAACCTTTGTCAGTAGTAGTGGATGCTCTGGTTGCTCCATGAGATCAGTACAACCTGATCTATGCTTTTCCTCCTATGAAACTCCTTCCTCATTTGAGCTACAGGATTACGGTGGAGGGCATTCTTATCACACTGAACTGGCCCAGTCTCTTTCAGATCATCCAGATCTTCTCTACCATGGACTGGTTATCACCCTGCTTCATAGTGGCTGTTGAAGCCCTGGTCCTATGAGATATGGGTCTTTATGATTTGGTAATTCATTTTAAAAGCTAGAAAATCACACAAGCTCCACCATTGCATTTGGAAAGCATAATCTGGTGCAAGGCATTAAAATGTAATCCCAAGAAATACTCTGTGGGAAGGATCCTGACCTTTCTGTAATCTAGTCTGAATCAACATTTGACCCTGCCTGCCATCAAGTGGCAAAACTCAGCTAACCTTTGAACCTTTAAAAGGATAGTCCCCTGTCAACTCTCACTAAAAAGGTTGCCTTCCAAAATGCCATCACCTCTGTGAGGCTTTTTTTAGCTAGTGGCTTTGTATTCTAAAGAATCTTTTTTAGTCTATACAAAGACAAGGTGTTTCCTTCCACCTTAACCAGGACATTGTCCTTCCATTCCTGTATTTCATGGAGATTTATCTTCATTGTTTGGATGTGTGGTGAGAGCTGTTTATGTATATGAACCGATGGCTCCTGCTGCTGCCTCTGTAAGCAGAGGGAGAGAGAGAGAGAGTAGAGAGCCGCTGCAGATGGGCACCATGCTGGATCGAGATTGAGCTCAGGTAAGTATACAGGGGAGTGAGGGGGAGATATAAATACAGGGACATTTTTACCTTCACACAGGTAGTGCAATAAGGTAAAAAATGTCCAGCCTTTAGAACGACTTTAAATGATCCCACACATTTCTGAAAAGATACTTCTGCCTTCTCATGTGTGTGGTTAGCCTTACATGAAGGTGTTTGGAATGTGCATACTTTACAGAGCCAAGTGAATGCTTTAAAGAGAAGGCTTTCTTCTGTCAGTCTTTAAAGATTTTATGCTGTGTTATTTCTTGATCAAAATAAAAATATACACAATATAATATTTAACCCAAATATTCCAAAGCCTACTCATGAGCCTAAATCAATGCTTACAGTGAATGACTCACAATGGAGGAGATTTACTATAACTGGTGCACACAGATTCAAGCGCAGCTGTGCATAGTAACCAATCAGCGTCTAACTTCAGCTTGTTCAATTAAGCTTTGACAATAAAACCTGGAAGCCGGCTGGTTACTCTGCACAGCTGCACCAGATTCTGTGTGCATCTGTTTTAGTTTAGTTTAATCTTCCACAATGCCTCCTCCAAGAATTGAATGGTTTTATACGCTAACAGGGAAGAAATTAGTTTGAAATGTAAAGATTGAACTTCATAAAGAATGTGAAGACCCCACTGAAGTATCGTAGCTCATGGCCAACTTGTGTCTTAAAATGGCCCTTAGTTTAGTACCGCTAGACCTAGACTAAACACTTTCAGTACAACTTTTCCTGTAGAAGGAACTTCTTTAACATAAATTCTTCTGTTTTTAGGTGCCTGTCTTAAAACCAATGGATTTGATGGTAGAAGTTACTCCCAGGAGGATATTTTTCTAATGGTCACACATATCATGTCAATTCCATCTCTGTCAACAGCGACTGTGAGACGTACATGTCAGCGGATGATCTCAGAATTAACCTCTGGCACTTGGCCATCACTGACCGGAGTTTTAGTATCCTTTCATATAGCAAAGACTGGACATCCCAGCACAGAAGTGTATGATTGAATAATGCTGCTCAGTTATTTGCAGCTTGCAGGATAAAGTACATTTAAGGGGACAACTCCACAAGTAGCACATACTCCCCTTCTTTACTCTATGGCCACCAGGATTTCTAGGTATGTATGAACATATGTCTCACTCGCTTTTCCTGCAACGTGACATAACTAGTGATGATTCGCTGCTCAGATACCCAGCATTGTCACATAAGAGCAGAGACAGAGTTTCTCTCTTCTCTACCAGAAGCTGAACAAGCATGCAATGTAGGACAAAGCTATAGATTGCTGTGTTACAACAGACTTGTGATTAGAGGAGGTTCTGCTGTTGATGGCTAGAGAACGTAATGCTTCTTGGGCAAGTGTCTAATTTGCTCAGTGGCAAAGCTGTAGAATTCACAACCTGTGGCATCATATACTTTTCTTTGTAAATATGTTTTAAAAAATGTTAATTATATTAAAGTATAGGTTCACCTTTGGAACAAGCTACATGTTCCACCTGTTTTTAGGGTGGAACATGTAACATGTTCCCATAGCTGCAGCCATGCCCGCTGCCCCCTCTCCCTCTGACAGATAGTATGGGGAGAAGTTTCCGCGTAATATCTGTCAGATTTGAAAACAGCGTGGCCATGCGGGGCTTCGCTCACACGACTGCATCACTCATTCACAGAGTTCTGTGAATGAGTGCCTACAAGTCCCGAAAGACTTAGAGCGGCTGTCGGTTTGTATTTTTCAACTAATTACCACGGTGCTGTGCAGCGCTGTGGTAGTTCATTGAAGCTTCCTGTCAGTATATCTGCTTGACTGTACATCCCATACGGCAAGTAGATATTCTGACAGGTCTGCAGGAGACCTGCATCACATCAGCGATCTACTGATCGCTGGTGCAATGCTTTCCAGGCTCCTTGGACAAAAATAATAAATGCACATTTTTTTACCTGCAAAAAAATGTGCATTTATTATTTTTGTCCAAAAGGTGAACGTATCCTTTAATACAAATTAAAACATTAGTAAATTACCCAAATCCAGATAAAACAGGTAATAATTTCTGAGCATACCTCTTGTATTGTACTTGCCAATATATGAAATAATACGTACTGTAACTGGAATTAAGATTAGCAGCTACAGAATTAAAAAAAAAAACAAATAAAAAACTAGGTATGGTCTATAATATCTTTTAGCCTTGTATGTGCCATGTGAGTACCAGCTTGGGCTGCCTAAAAAGCCTGAAGCCTATTATAACTTTTCCAGTACATTTGCTATTGAAACTCTTGTATAGTCTCGGTCTTATATAGTGATTGGCCTAAGTCTTTGCTCCTACAAAATGTTTTGCCCCACAAGTCCTGCACTGCAACCTGCCATTGCGATGATGTCCATCTGCCAGACGTTGGCCGTCTGGTCCAAGGGTTTGTCCCGAGATTCTTGATCTTTCCTAACAGATCCTTCTGTGTTCTAGCAGCTGGAGCCCATGCCCATAGCCCTACTCTATTGTGTTGGAGGGCTTGCAGATATTATAGCCAAAAATTTAGAATGGGCCACATTTCAGTACGCTTGAGGGGGACTCTTTGGCTCAGTACTGGATGGTGGGACGTCCGTACAAAGAATGCCTCTTGCATATGCCTATTTGATGGGGAAAGACGTTTTTGGCAAAGCACTGGAGTAGGAGGTCACCATTGGGAAGAGTACCCCTTTGACCCTGCAAAAGAAGGCAGTATCACCTTCTAGGAAATTTTTCACACCTGAGGCTAAGAAGACTTCCCTTTGTTTCCCTCAGACCTCTTACCTTTAACCAAGCAGTAGTAGCAAGCAATAGTAAGAGTGGGTCATAAGAACAAAAAGGAAGAACCCCTTTTTTTTTCTTAATATGCTTCAAGAAAAGATTTTATGGTAAAATCCATTTCTTGGAGTTTATGAAGGGACAGATCTCCATACCCTCTAACTTGAGGTCACTCCTGCTACTGCCTTTGCACAAAATTAAAGCATGACGTGAGTCCGGGGGGGAGGGGGGATGTTACACTTGCTAATTAACATCATTTTTTTTCCAGTGTCCAATTCTCTGTTGGGCAGCAGTATAACCTAGTTTTCTCAGGAGCCTTCTGTTCCTGTGTCCCTTAATGTACTCCAATAAAACAGATTTTACCATAAGTCAAAAAAACATTTTTTCCCGTTAGAAGTGTGATTAATTATTACTTGAGGTACACTGGTTGTGACTGGTAACTATTTCTTAACTGTGTAATAATGTATTATTGCTTCCAGCAGTCCTTAAAAGAGGTCTGCAAGGACTTCTTTCATCTTAGCCTTTTCTGTGTTGTATTATTGATACAGTGAGCTTTACACACCGCACAAAGACAGGGAGATTATTTGTTGGTTTCTGTACATGCAACCTGTCTATAGATTTAATATGTTTACTCATTACAATTATGACTGAATATACTTAGTGGCAAAGACAGGCACTTCGTAAGTCTTCAGATGTCTAGATTCAATTACATTTGAGTCATTCGAAGCCAAGTCTTCATTCTTAGAAAGCGATTATTTTTCACATACACTTGGGGATAGGGTAATGCCTCAGCGATAACATCTCTTCCCAATTATGCTGCATGAGTGCCATCAGGAACAATTTTATTCCGCAATAGTCATTTATTTTCAGGTTCCACACTTTCAGGAACATACAATCCTGTTTTAATAATGACTGCTTCTGTTTAGAGCTCCTATGGGCTTAGACTAATTAGGAAAGCAACAAAAGCTTCTCATTTTAATCAGCAGTGTTCTGCTTCATTTTGGCCTCATCTCAGAAAGCTTTCATCAACCAGTCCTCTGAAGTCACAAGCTGTTTCATGGGATGGAAATGTTTTGAGGATCAAACATTTGTATCATTCATTTGATAGTAGAATAAATGATAGACTGGATTACTGACACATATTGTTTGCTACAGCTACGTCCAGTAGAGAAGATGCAGCCATATGAGTCTGAACAGAGCCGTAAAACATGGTAACCATTCACTGGCCTGACTCCTCTACTACTGTGATATTACAGTGTATCTAAACCCAGGGACAAAAAATTCTGCTTCCCAATTCTTAGATGTCTTGGCTGCATTAGGCAGAAATATACCTATTGATCCTGTCAGAAATTCAGTGTCATTGTAACTTTTTGTGCACCGAACTAATATATAATCTTATCAGCATTCCCAGCTATCCTCTGTGAACTACAAAGCATCACCCCTCTATACAATCCACCCCTCTATACAATGGAGATGTTGAGGTGTTGTATTTCAAATCAGGAGACATGTCAACACTGATACTCCATAGATACAGTACAAGGACTGAAGGTTGTCACACAGGACAGGAAGTGTGTTACTGGCAAGATCGCCATGGGGAAATAAAGAAAAAAAAGCCTAAAAAAGAAAACTAATTCAGTAACAACATCTAAGCACAGGTACGCTGCAATACAATACATTCTCATATTTTAGGTTTAAATACATTTTAATATTCTAGTGATGTCTTAAAGCCTATGTAAGCCTAGAAGAAGGGATCCAAAAATCTTTTTTCTAGTTTTGGATAGAGTGGAGAGTGAATTAAACACCTGCCAGTTTTCATTGCTGTCTGTGTCCCCGTTAGGGAGATTCACCCTCACTATTCGTCTTGCTTACCATTATCTTCGAAAGTGAAAAGTACGAGAAAATCCCAAATTTTGGGTTGACACCAGAACAGTAATAGAGGGGAAATCTTCCAGTGGAGACACTTGTTCTGGTGACAACCCAGGATTCCTTCACTTTGGAGGGATTTCCTCTCACTTTCTCTTTTGGCAAGTAAATAGTTAAGCAAATATTTAACAGTTCTTCAGCACACATCACAAAGCCCCCCAAAACTGCTGATTGGCTAGGTCATTAAACATTCATAACACAGGGTACCACCTCTCTCTAGCACAGCCTACTGGCATGCTCAAGTAGCACCTGACAGAGAATGTACACTCTATACATAGAGATCACTCCTAAAGCAATATAAATTAGTCTAACAGCACCTCACTGCATTCTCAAGAATCACAAAAGTGCAGAAAGGGAATCTGGACAAATACTACATCCCTTCACAAGACTGAGCATGAGAATGATGCACTTTTGAAATCTTCCTTTCACTTGACAATTATACCCATTGTTCAGTCCGTGTCATGGGTTGGGGGTTGAATTATCAACAAAGATGTGTTGAAAGTTAAACTGCATTTTTTTTAACAAGCCGGGTTCCAGACAGTGTTGCCAACCTCTCGCAGCATTTTTACTGACAAAACATGGAAAGATTACAGATGGAGAACATTTTTTACTGACAATCTGAAAAATGACAAAAACTAAGACAATCAATATTTAAACAGCATAAACACAATATGGAAACATTTACAATACCCATAACAAGTAATTTGACTGGTTTACAAATGTCAACACATCATGACATGACAAATGATCAGCCCCTGATATTTACAGACAGTTGAAAAATCACTGATTTCACATGTACAACTAAGAGTTTGGTCTACAGTGTAAATTTTAGGACTTTCAACAAACCACTGTTTGCAATCTTCCAGGAAGGGGAGGAGTAGAGAGTCTATTCAGCTGCTAATAGTCTTTTTTTTCATTGCAGCTCCAGGCTTCTACAAAATTCAGCTAATTTCTAAGTTACTGTTTTGAACGGTTAAATGCTCACTTTGTCTTGAGTGATAGAATAAGCAGCGTTACTTACCTTATTCCTCATTTCCCTGGCAAATAGTGCTCTCCTTCACTCTCCCACCCTCCCGGGATGTGGGCTGGCCGGGTTGGTGAAGAGAAGCAGCTTCTTGGTCAGGGGACTAGTTGTGCTGGTAGGAGGAATCCAGCCAGACTGAGGAATAAGGTAAGTATATCTGCATATTTCTCTACCACTAGACTAAACAAGCATTTAAACCTTGCAGACTGCGGGGCATTGTCTGGCCGCTATCCAA